AAAAAACGACACCTCCCGCATTTCACATAACCACTTCGATGAGCCTTTTCGTCCACTAGCTAAACGCGAGCGTCAAATTGGCATCCACGTTGCACTGCTTTTACCATTGGAGTGACGGATGGAACACAAATGGCTCGGCAACACATGCAGACAGACAATATAACAGTCCTCACGGTAATATATTGTTTATTCTCTGCGAGGAACGACTACGATGACCGCCGTACCGACGAACGGGGCGGAGTCGAGGCGTCTCACGGAACGGGAAATTTTTGTCTGTCTGCCTTATACTGCCACCGGGTGGCCGAGGCGGGGCGGCGCAGCGCGGTGGCATTCGAGTGATGCCGCGTGACAGATGGTTGAGTTTGTTTCCCGACGTCATGACTTGGATGTTTTTCCTCCGGTGCCAGCTTCAACTTTGTGGCTCGCTCACGATTCGCCGTCGTCTGTCTTCTCTTCTGGCCCGAGTGGCATGAAGCTCCTCGCTCTCACTCTTCACCTCCTCCTCCTCCTCAGCGTGTCCTCCCACATCACGCCCGTGCGTAGGCATCATCGCTGTGGGGGTGTGGGGGGGGGGGTAATCCGGCGAGGGAGGAGGGGGTCGCCATTGGGCGGGCCGGTGAAAGCCCCCTTTGGCGGCATTATGAGATTCACCTGCAAAAAAAGTCTGCCCCCGCTTTTTTCTCATTTGTATTCACACCAGCTCTCTTCTTCCTCCTCCTCCTCCTCCACCTCACCCCGCCCTCCCGCGCATGTGTGTCATCATCCTACAGTGCTTCACCTGCATTTTGCTGCAGCACACACGCACGCGCACACACACACACACACAGAGCGAGACACACACCCACGACATCCGGCATGGCACCTCCCCTCACACTCTCTCTCACACACGCACACACCTCACTTCCTGTGCGTGTCCCCCTTCACACACGCACACTCACTGCAGAGACACAACATCCCAAAAAGTGGCGCAGACACAAAAGGAAGATGGCGAGAGCATTTTGCGATCTAAATGGGAACGACGGGCGCCATCGTAGTCTTTAACGCCTGTTGATGCCGCCTTGGCATCACCATGGCAACGGAATCTCACAACAAAGTCACGGAGCCGGTTTATTGGCATAATATTTGTGTCGTCGGTTGGCCCAAAGTCACACATGCCTCTTTGATGGGGAAACATTGGGGAAGCTGTGAGATGTGGTGCGAGTGTTACAATATCGATATGATTGCAATGTTTGGCATGTCGCTGAAGAAATGACGTCTTGATGACCTCGTGATTTTTATTTATTTTTTTCATACAGCAGCATCAGCTGGCTCAGCTCGATCTTTATGACCTCATGATTTTTATTCATTTTTTTTCATACAGCAGCATCAGCTGGCTCAGCTCGTGAAGTCTCGGTGCTCATGCCAAAATGGAGGCACACGTAGTAGCGAGACTATTTTGCGCACCTGCGACCAGTCACCCGACTCTGTCGACACCGAGTGTGACGTCACCCACAGCCGTGACCGAGTGGAATGCGCGGGAATGCAAATGCGATGGGCCATTTCAAAGCGAAGAAGTGCGACACCTAGCGGATTTGACGGGAAACTCGACTTCAAGTCGGCACGCCCGTCGGGGCCACTCGGAAAACCCAAATCTGCTTTCCTCATCGCCATGATGCTGATAAAATGTGTCAGATGTGAGTTATTTGCGTACGTATCTTTTTGTGTGATATCTTACACGATGTTTCTGCATTCAAACAGCCAAATTGCGTACAGGGTCAAACATTTCGGCACAATGACATGAGCCTTGCACAAACCTGATGATGAAGCTTTGCTTCAAATCGACTATTCCGGTGTCTTCCGGTTCTGTCTTGTCTGTTTAACTATTTACCATATCCATTTATCCTCCGCGCAGACAGAGTCACCTCGATTCGTTTTGATTCGATTCAATTCTTCAGGGAAATGGCGCCAAAACGAAACCTTGTGAGGCTTCCGCTATTTGGTGCGCCAAAGAATGACGGTTTTCAATTCCAGTCAAAAGCGGCAACTCACTATCCGCCACCCGGGTGTGTCTCTATTGTTGATAATAATTGATATTAATTTTATGGCCCCACGCTTTCCAACATGCAGAGGCAAGAGCAGCAACGGTTGCGAGAGGAGATGACGTCACGCGGGGCCCGGCTGTGTCCCGTGGCGGCCCCCGTAGCCGCGCTTGAAGTTGTTTTCTGTTTTGCTGCTGTTGGCGTGGAGGCTGACCAAGATGGCGGAGCAGCTGGACCGAGTGCGAATCTCGGCCGCCGAACTTCGAGCGTCCAGTTGTTCACTCGACCAAGGTGAACATACAACAAGAGCGTCGGAAAGCTTAAAAACTTCCAACTTGCTCATATGTCGGCGCCACGAGGAGCACGCGCACTTGCTCGACGTGCGCGCGCTTGGCTAACGTTGGTGCTAATGTGGCTAATGCTAGCACTAGGACCGCGCTTTCCTTTCCTTTGCTTTTCTTTTAAGCGTCGCTGCGACTATCAATAGTACACACGGTGAGCGACAGTAGTATGTGCGTTGTGAAAGAATCCGGTATTTTCAAAGTGCACTTAAACGATAAGCGTTGCGATTGACGTCACGATGACAACAAAAGGGAGAGAGTTTGCAGAACTGGTTGGCAACGACGAACCGAAGCGGAGCAGTGGAACCCTTCTTATTTATTGCAAAAGTGAATATTTTCTAACTCCGCTTCTCTTAATAGAGCGGAGAATCGGAGACCTGCGTTGACTAGTCATCACGCACTCCGCCGATGGCCTTGTCAAACTTGACTTTTTGTCGTTCGTCAGACGACCAGATAAATAGCCTTGTGGGACTTGGACCGGCCGAGATGTCACAGGACCAGACCCTCCCGAGTCGTTGTTTGTTTCCCCGTCAAGATTCTGTTCGGCGGGGAGGCGGGACAAACGGCTGTCCAAGTCGTGTCGACTGTGGGTCCCCACTATGTTCTGAAAGGGCAAAAAAAAAAAAAAAAAAGGAAAGTAGGGAAGAAAATATTGTATCGATCCCTTCCTGGATGGTGGTGGGGGTGGGGGGGCGGCATGGACGTCTATTCTCCCAACAGGCAAATGTCATGAAAGTCAGATCACGCGCCACATAAAAATAAGAATCGTGTTCAATCGCAACACAGGTCAATACGCGATCAATTCTGGTGAAAATGATATGCATTCGAATAAGTGCATAGATTTGACGTACCAAAAAAATAAATGAACTTGAAACGCAAGTTAAACAGATGGAATTTTAGTATTAGCAGCAGAATCGTGTGATAGGATGAGCAGGGATGAGGATTGACTCAATTGTTCTTGTTTATTTGTATTTTACTCCAGATAGTGTCCCGTTTTCATGTTCATTTTTGTGTGCGTTCTTTCTTGGGGCGCAGAGGACGGTCACCTGCCCAACAAGCACCGGCGGCGTCCCGACTTGCAGCGCTACCAGCGAGTGCCCAGACAGGGACGCCGGCACCGCGACAGCGAGGAGGTGGAAAATGCGCCGAGCGACCGCCGCGGAACGCCGCCGTCCAGCCCGCGCGATCCCAAACCGAGGAACGGCAAAAAGAACCTCCCGCCGCACGCCGACGACAGGATGCGAGGCGACAACGTTCACGCCCCCGACGTCAACAGCGAGGCCGCTCCGGACAAAGACGCGCCGGAAAAGCACGGCGTGAGCCGGGAGCCCGTCGGAGCCAGCAAGCCAAAGAAAGCCCGCAAACCCGACCGGGAATTTTACCGGCCCGGAAGCCGCCGGGCCACGCCAGGGAAAGACTGCGACGGGGCGCCGGAGCTGGCTACGCCTCCGTCTGGGACTCACGAGCCCGACGCCGGCGAAAGGCAGGCAAAGGGGAAGGACAAAGACGAAAAAGCAAAACCCAAGGAGACCGTTCGCCAGGCAGCGGGAAAAAACACGATGGAGAAACTGCTGAGCAAAGTGGAAAAACTCAGCGTCAAGGAGAACGCTTTCCGTGAAGACGGCGAGGACGCAGCCGGACGCGGAGGCAAAACCGCGGATCGGGAAAGACGGAACGACGCGGCGAAGAGGGGGAACGGGCGCAGAAGAGCCGGCGGCGAGGACCAGAAAAGCCAGAATGTCATTGCGGGGCCCCGCCAATGGGAAAAGGAGACAAGCCAGAGCGACAGGGCCCGTCCGTTGGGAGAGACTCACCCAAACAAGGGAAGCGAGCGCACCAGAAGAAGCGGCGACGCCTCCATCAAGAACGGCGGCGGCGGGGAAGCCGACAGAGCCGCTCCCGCGCGGAGGAGCGGCGAACGTCAAGGCCAGCGCAGCGAGCGCGCCAAATGGGGCGGCGCCGCCCCCACCTCCAAGCGCTATTCCAAGTCGGACATCCGCCGCCCGCGACGTCGCACGTACAGTAGC